GATCTCCGAGGTGGAGTTGGGAGCCCACGACCGAGGCCTGTCAGCGGCATCGCCAGACGTTCACATAATGGTTCTCAGCCATGCTGACCCAAGCCAGAGACCAGTTCACGCAAAGAGCCGTATACGCGGGTGTGGTGGCCAAGTTCCGCGAGGAACTCGGCTCGAACACGCCGTACGAAGATTGAGGAGAATGTCCGTCTGTATGTCTGACAGTACAAAGAGTTCACTCTTCAACGGCAGCGGTCCTGGCCACCCTACTCGGGCTAGCACGTCCGAAATCATGTCCGTCTCGCGCTGGGAATCATTGTCGAAGTGGCAAGGCCATCTGCAAACGGTCAGATCGTTGGGCCGTGCCGACTTTGGTTTCGAGGCCGTGGGAGGCGGGACAGGTTTCAGACCCGCTCCGGGGCCCTGCGAGGGCACCGCGAGAACCCCCCCCACATTCCCACCAGGACCCTGCCGGGACCGTGCCAGGCGCACGCCTCGTGCAGCGTGCTCTGCCGGGGCCCCTCGCGCGACGACTGCCGTTCGCGGCGGCCTCCGGCGCGCGCCGCGCCAGAGGCCGCGTCGCCCGGCGCGAGGTTGCAGTTTTTATGCAGGCGTCCCCCTCCTGTTGACGCAGGCGCTGGCGTCAGGACGGGCGCGCTGGATCGGGCCAGGCGAGGGAGTGGTAGGGGGGAGGGGGAGGAGGGGAAGGGAGGGAAGAGGATGGAAGGGACAGGGGAAGGGATCACAGGGGGTGGGAAAGGAGGGAGGCGGGGGATGGGGACGGGAGGGTGGAGGCGGTAGCGCGAAGGTGGAGAGGAGGGGGAAGGAAGTGAACAAGAGAGGGGCGGTGAGGGGGAGGGTAGGCGAGGGGACGGGGGAAAGGGGGGATGGGTAGGGTAGGGGAGTAGAGGGGGAGGTAAGAAGGGAGGGGGAAACTGTGTGTGGGAGAGAAGAGGGGGGGGGTAAGGGAGCGAAGAGGGAGGGATGAGAAGTATAGTGATTCGATATGTGTGGATGGTTCCCCAGTCCTTCTGGGTTTCAAAGGTTGAATGAGGCAAACGGAGGGCGGTGGAAAGGCGGGAGGAAAGGAGAGACGGGGGAGGGACACGCTAGGTGCACTCGCGCCATCTCTGACCAACCCATCCCTTGCCATTGCGCAGGTTTTGTCTCTACCCACAGACAGGTATCATAGCGGACCTGAAACCCCTAACATGGCCTCATCGTGACATGCGCAATCAGCAAGGAGAGCCGTGTACATCGGGAGGATGAGGAGGAGGAGGAGGAGGAGGAGGAGGAGGAGGAGGAGGAGGAGGAGGAGGAGGAGGAGGAGGAGGAGGAGGAGGAGGAGGAGGAGGAGGAGGAGGCAGGAGGAGGAGGAGGAGGCGGAGGAGGAGCAGGAGGAGCAGGAGGAGCAGGAGGAGGGCGGAGGAGGAGGAGGAGGAGGAGGAGGAGGAGGAGGAGGAGGAGGAGGAGGAGGAGGAGGAGGAGGGTAGGAGGCAGGAGGAGGAGGTTGTGGCACGAGCAGGAGGATCACAGGAGGAGAGGGGGAAGAAGAGGAGGTGGAGGGGGAGGAGGAGGTGGAGGATGAGGAGGAGGAGGAAGAAGAGGAGTAGGAAGAGGAGGAGGAGGAGGATGAGAAGGAGCAAGGAAGGAGGAGGAGGAGGGGGAAGACAGCAGCAGAATAAGCAGGATTACGAGGAGCGGGAGGATCAGCAGGACAAGGGGGAAGCGGAGGAGGGCAAGCGAGGGGGGCGAGGAGGGAGAAAGGATGATTGGTCCCTTCTCCCTCCCCTTTCCTTCTCCAGGAAGGGGCTTCCAATTACCTCTGGAAGCCTCCTGAAGCCTCCGGACAATTGCACTGGTCCGCAAATTACAAGAGACCAACCGCACATTTTAGGAAGCATCCTCATCCTTCCGCCTCCCTCCCTCCGCCTTCCCTCCGCCTTCCCTCCGCCTTCCCTCCCCTATTCCTGCTTCCCCTCCCTCCCTCCCTCCACCACCTTCCTCCCGCCCTCCTGCCCTTCCTCTCTCTCTCTCTCTCCCTCCCTCCCTGCCTCTTTCTGTCCCTCCCTCCCTCCCTCCCTCCTGCCCCCTTCACCCCCGCCTCCTCGCTTCTCACTCTCGTCCCCCGGCCTCCTCCCACCTCCTCCCTCCTCCTCCCTCCTCCCCCCTCCCTCCTCCTCATCCTCCTCATCTCCTCCTCCTCCTCTCCTCCTCCTCCTTCTCCGTTCCTCCTCTTCCTCCTTTTCCGCATCCTCCTCCTCAGCATCCTCCCCTCCTACATCCCTCCTCCTCCTCCCGCCTCCGCCGCCTCCGCCGCCTCCGCCTCCTCCTCCTCCTCCTCCTCCTCCCCCTCCTCGTTCTCCTCCTCTCTCCTCTGCTCCCTCGTGGAGGAGGGGCCCTTACCGCGCTCCAGGTGCGCGGCGGGCTCGACCGAGCCTCGGGCGCGCTGGAGTGCCAGACGGCCGCGCTGCTGCGGCGCCACACGGAGGAGGCCTCCGAGCGGCTCTGCGCCCTCGAGCGCGAGGTGGGCGCCGCGCGCCACCGCCTGGCGCGCGTCGAGCGCGCCTGCAGGCTGGACGCGGTGG